TTTAAAAGATATACATAGCTATCAACCCATACACCGAGCTGATCCGTAGCACTACCTCAGTACTGTGGTCGCGGCTGTGGTGGCTACATCTTCAGCATAGTTTTAATGTCATATCAGTTCGCTTTACAGTTTCACTGTTCATATTTCACGCCTCTGTCATGCTTTTAATACTTCTATGTTTTCACCCGCGTAAGTGCGAGGAATTTTAAGGCCCCTACACAGCCACATACCATTTCATTCCTCACATCTGTCTGCATAAATGGCGCTCTTTGGCCATCAATTCGCTCTTGCGCCATTAAGCTCTGCACATTATCATCATTTATGGCTGAAATGGCGGTCCAGAAACCTCGTCGTGTTACTTTTGTGCCAAGAAAGAGCTTACTTTGAAATAAAAGTGCGTTTTAGTGGTCCGCATCGGACTAGCGCAAATTATCCGCCCTTAGAAGGGAATCGCCTAACTTCACTGTCGATTTATTTGATATGTGGGATTCAACGTCCCAGAACCACCATATCAATGTGAGAGACACCGTAGTGGAGGGCTCCGGAAATATCGACCCCCTAGGGCTCATTAACGTGCACCCCAATCTGAGCACACGAGCCTACAACATTTCCGCCTCCATCGGAAATGCAGCAACCGCAGCCGGGATTCGGTCACGCAACCTGCGGGTCAGCAGCCGAGTACCTTAGCCACTAGACCATAACGTCTCTGTTATGGTCTAGTGGTCTCTGTTATGGTCTAGACCATAACAAAGTTGCCCGGCTTTACTGCGCGGTTTCCAACACTAGTAGCAGCAGAGCGAAAGCAGCGGAAGCCACAGCAGCAACAACAGCCATTCATGGATTATAGTGCCCATGAAGGAAGGAAACAACTTAGGAGAGGCCTTGACATCACTCGTTGTGGAGCCGCGGTGAAGCCGGAAGTTGGCCTTGTTGACTGGGCAAATTCTCCTCTCTTGTTTACATCCAAATGAAAAGCAGAAGGCGCTGCTCTCTCTTCGGCTGGAAAGCACGTGGCAAGCGCAGCGCGCGTGTCGTGACGATTCAAAACTAATCGAACGGGTCTCAACACTCTGGGCCAGCGTGACACCTTCGGCGACATAATTTCGTCCGAGCATTAACAGCGAGTAACTGCTCGCCGACAACGAAGCAAGTACAAGAGAACGCGCGCTAGATTCACTGACAATGACGAGTGTCTTCCCGTCATTAATTCAGCAACTGTACAGACAATACGCGTAAGTTTACACCAAGGCTATAGGTCCGCGAAAAAGCGAAACAGCCCTGAGAGCACGCCGCAGAGCGTATGCTGTTTTGTTTGCCCCATACCGGTTTGTTTGCACCATAAATTTGACGTCACCTCCGCCACACTTCTCGCAATGCATTGGGATAGGATTGGGCCTCTTCTCAGTTTTTCCTTCCTCCACGTTTCCTCCACACTTTTCACGTAGTGCGCCGGCTGGGCATGCCCTCTCTTATCTTTCCTTCCTCCATGATCCTGGCATTGGCTTCGAAATAACAGACATGTTTTGGTTGAACTGAGCCCCGCTAGGTGGCAAGACATGTCCAGTTTAACCACGTGAAAATTGAATTTTTGAACAGCTCTCGCCATTTGTCACAGTAACGTCCCACTGTTATTTTTCCCAGGAAGGAAACAGAAACATACAAGCAGCATTTTAATGCGTCTCTTGAGGCACGGAATGCTTTTTGTTTAGTGCAGCTAGATCTATTTTTGTAATTATTTGTAGGCGGTTCGTCTGACTTCATGGGGATCATTTTGAGAATGTCCTACTCAATCGCATGTAGTTTTTTGCATTTACCTCAAGTTCTCGGTAAGTAGGGCACGAATGTTGATAATATTGTAGTTTTAGATGTTGTCGTATACATTGTGCTTTCACTCTGACGTAAGTGGTTATTTGAGTTTAGTGTCCCTTTAAAAAAGTCACCTGCAAAAACAGAGCTTGGCTTCACCGTGTAACTGTGGTTGCTAACCAGGCAAGGTGGCAGACCAATGCACTACTGTGCTCCTGTGGGAGCATATGCAGTTACTCTACCTAGATGTATGGATGTTATGAGCGTCTCCTTTATAACAAGGTGGTGACATGTGTGCTCCCAGGCTTGCAAAAACAAATGAAAAGAAAACTTTGTTTTTAGTGTACGCCTCGCGCCTTATCTATTTCGATTATATTGATCTTACTATAACCAAAAATTCATTTATGTTCCATATCTGCCTCTTCAGGCAGAGTTACCTCATTTTTTCGCTATTTCTGCTCTTTATCTCTACTTTTATGCCACCAATATTCTAACCGTCTCTTACTTGCTTATATCACGGACGTGGTCAGGCCATCCCGCCGCAGCAATTGTGACTGCAACTACGGCCGGCACGCATTCTCCCATAGAAAGCCACCAGACGTGGCAGGTCGTACCATGTGATATTTCACACAGCGGCCGTGCCGTAACATTTAATTGTATTCGCCATGGCCACGAGCTATATTAGGTAGCGCACGCCATGCAATTCAGGATCGATACGGGAGGAATATCGACTCACATGGAGGAAAGAATAAACTGAGGAGAGGTAGTTACGTCACGTTTCGTGAAGCCGGAAGTAGATAAGAGTAGAGAACTCTTCCTCTCGATTGTAAGCACGCCTCGGCGGCTCGCGCATGTGCAACGGGCGCTAGCAAGACGGCGGCGAGCCCACCTTGTCCCAGAAACACCCTGCAGAAACACGTGACTTCCATCACACTTTTCGCTCTGCAGCTCGCGTTGTGAGGGTCTCTCCTTAGCTTTTCTTCCTCGATGTCAACCCATGAAAGGATAAGACGCGCGGACGCACGCCTGTGCCGCTTTCATCGGATGAATGCTTGATCGTGGAATGGATGTATATTGGACCAAAGTACTTTTCCAAACGATAGGAACTGCTAAATGTTCGCTACCTGATTTCTTGCCGCAGCGCGAAAGGGGGTGGTGTCCGCTGATCTACCGTGCGTCAACGATGCCTTGCGTAATTCTGCGCGTGCGTCAGAAACCTGCGTGAACTCCATGGGACGTATGAATTTAACGGCACTACGAGATAATTTGTGCCGAGCCTGCCTGACGGATTTGCCACTGTAGCAGGCCACTAACGAGCAGTGCACCGTCGCGGCTGCACGGAATCGGACGCTTAACGTAGCGATGGTTTGCAAACATATTACGCCCTCGTTATTACTTGCCCTGTAAGCACCATGAAATTGCTTCTTCAATGGAACTCAAGCACTTAACTTCCTGTTCGATAGCGCTTGTGCCACAGCCATGATCAGACTCCAACAGCGCGTAGTTCACTGCACTAGGATGTTACAGGTTCTATCAGCGCGATCGCAACAAGGATATTGAAACAAATAGAACAAAACAAGATGTCAGAATTAATGTGAAATTTCAGAATAAACAAACAAATTGTAAGAACAGTGAAAATTCTTCGAACAACAATGTCGTACTGACGACATTGTTGTTCGGAGATGAGAAAGAGAAGGAGAAGGTAACTACTTTAATGACGCCAAAAAGGGATCAGGTGAGGGAGGGAGATGGGCAAGTGCAGAAGTTCGCAGAGGAGCGTAGACTGTAGCCGTAACTGCAATTTTCACTGCTCTAACCATTTTGCTTCGCTGGTCGAGCTCGAGCATGTTGGCGGCATACAGCGCTCCTTAATATCCACTTTAATTGGGCTACATGCAATGCACAAGAAAAACTATGCTTTCATTTTGAGCTCGCTGAAGGATATTACACAATAAATATAATCAAAGTGACTTACGAGCATGAAAACACATTAACGCACAAGGGGACGTGAAGTGCAACTCACTGCTCGTGAGTTAGCAGCTGATCGTTCATCGTCATTGTCAATCTCGGTGCATTCTATATCCTGTGAAAAATGCTTGACGTAAAGTCGGTTTCTTCAAACAGCACTGCTGAAAGTGATCTGAGGAATTTTCTCCACCTAACTACTTTGATAACGCTAACAACGGGTCACATCACCATGCACAACGCGAACACGGTGCCCCTCATCACATTTCAGTTTGACACCCGGTAAGAAGTGAAGCGCTTGCAGTGCGCTGCCATCTATAAACGAACGCAAAAGTCACGCGACGCCGCGTTGACCAAGGTTCGGAAGAGCAAATCGCAAGCCTGCGATACTTCGCGCCTACGAAGAATGTTATGGGATTCATGCACTACAACAGAACTGACGAATGCTGTACGCACGTAAGCAGAGGTGAGTTTCTACTGCAAAGGTCATGCCATATCCAACGTGGCTGCAGAAAATCTTGCGAAGCTGATATACATATTCTGCGGGCTATATTCAAACGCGGAATTTGCCTCACAATTACGTGAAAACTTCGCGTTTCGCAAGATTGAATCAAATTATTCGCGTCACGGACGGTCTGGTATACTCACTGATGCACAAAACATACAAGGCGATTTGTGTTCGTTCCTTGAGTGTCTTCTCACTAATAATCATCGAGAGGACGCTCCTGAATTCCGTTAAGTGGCGTGACAGCCTACGAACAATACGAATAGAGACAACATTTTGCAGCCACTGTCGAAAATGACCACACGCATTGGCCGGTTATGCTAGTCAAAGTGAACAGTGGTGGCTGCGCACAGAGACATGCTGGCAGATCAACCTGTACCGAGGATCCGTAGGGGTGGCAGAGGAGTTTAGCATTTCCGTCCCTGTGTGAGAGCAGCCTGCATCAATCTCGGACTGATCCTTTGCAGCACAATTAATCTGAACCCTGACTCCTGGGGGGGGGGGGGGGCATTGGTGCATGTTGAGTCTAACGTGACAGAAAACTGCAAGAAGCAGTGCTCTGTACGTACGTAAGCTTCTTTCTCGTAGCTTCCTGTTCCGTCTAGGCACGCTGTTCCACGATCACAATAACGTTATTCACACCATACCTAGACGACGTGAACAAAGTGCTGCTGGTGTGTTTTCAATGTCCCCTGAGCGTGGTATGTGATATCGACCATCGCAGGCAACCCACTGATGAGCGTTTCTGACGTGTTCGCTGGTATGTTCTTCGAGCCAGCACGGCTCGAGGGTCATGGCCCTCATAATGTGCGTATCACCTGGTCCCGGCCTGAGAGCACAATGGACGACAACATTGAGCGCGCACTGGTCTACGTGATCTTTCTGAGGGGGCTCTTCGACGATCAGCGCTGGGAGGACGTTGCACAGGTGCGGATCAGCAGCTTTTGAGTGCATTTTGAGCTTGATTTCTTAAAAAGTGACACGATTGGGTCTCTTAAGAGTGCAAAAAATGAATTCTTTAAATTGTTTAAATTGTACGAGCAGATCGATCTAAAAGCAGAAACAAAAACAAGAAGTCACAATACGCGTGGAGAGACAGCACACAGACATGCGTGCGAAGTGCCCACTTTTGTTGTTCATTATGACTTATGGTCTGAATTTTTAATGATACTGTTTGTCCACGTCGTGACTGTTGAACAGCTGCAGACAGGTGCCATCGAATTGGACAGAACGAACCAATGTGACAAGCATGTTGACGCATGATGTATGTCAGCACCACAGTTGGCGGGACGAGCTTTAATGGATGTTACTCCACAAATGAGACATTAAATTAGCTCAAATAAAACGCAGGCGTCGCCACGCAGGTTACTATGTAGTGCATCTCATTTCATGTCTTTTCGTGCTGGCTAATGCCTCAGGTGTGTGCCTCAAATTATCTCTTTTACATGAGCTGGTAAAACTAGTGACCAGTTTATTTATAGTCTGGCCCCATCACCCATTAGGTGGGTGGCGTGCTGCGCAAGCACGAAGGAAGGAAGAAGAAAAGGACAGCAAGAATCTTCTTTCGTGCTTCTGCAGGACGTTACTCGTTCAGTGATTTAACCAATTAGCCTGCAAAAAAGTCTTATTGGAATCTTAAACAAACCTTAGCTTTCTGGAATTGATGAAGGATGAATCAGCACATTGGGAACCGAAATTGGCACACACTGTCACTAGTCCACGAGGATAGACTTCCTACACGAGTAGTCAAAGCAGAACACAAGCGACAATGTAATTAGGAATTATTTCGCAATCCCACATAGTTACAACTATTGCCGATGCATTTCGATGGAGGTTTGAAGGTTTGTACTCTCAAATCACTACAGAGAACATATTACTCATTGAAATACATTACTGGATTAGTACGTTTCATCTCTCTTGATGACTGCTGAAATGCATGATTGACCAATGTGATGAGCCCACGTGTAGCAGAATAACAATTCGGCGAGCCTGATCACTTGCAGCAGCTCCATTTTAAACTGGACCTCTTTGGAGGCTCTACTCTTCACTCATAAAGCTGCATTGTTAGATTCATATTTTATGTAGTTGCCCTACAGCGCTCACTTTTCTTCTCGTCCCCAAACGCAGACACAGTACCTAAACGCAACTGTACGCCGCAGCCAACTCAAGCAGGCCTCGGAAGTGAAGGTCATCGCGCTCTCGCCATATGGCGTCTTTGCTCACACTCAAGTGGGCTTAGACCTGGACTTGGCGGCTTATGACTCTCTGCAGGCGGACGACTCCATCACCAGTGCCCTTCCTATCTTTCGCTGCTCCGAATGTTGTCGAAATCAAGCACTCTAGCGGATACCGAGTCGAGGTCGACATCGCATGGGAATTCGGACTCTCGCTACAAGCCAAGGACGTCAAGTATGAGGTGCGACCAGGCTCCACTAAATCCAGTTTCACAAGATTGTGTTTGCTTGTCGCGCTTGCTCCTCAGGGGCGTGACCATACCCTAAGGTCCCTAGATGGAACAAGTTTCCAAGGTAGCGTCACTCATTGTTCTCGAGCCGTCCTCCTCACTCTCTCGATTACTCCTCTTTTTCTCTATCATCCACGTCTGTAATTGGTGCTTTCCTTGCACGTGATCTTGCAAGTGGCTGGTGGTGTTAGTTATTCTTATGCAAAACGTTCAAAACGAGTACGCATGCACATATGGCTCCAGCCGGATTCTTACCATGACCAAAGATAAAATCGTAGCAAGGACATAAACTGAAGAGGAGGAGTGTTTCAGTGTGTTCCAAGTCGACCACGATTGTTTCGCTGTGCTCGTTAAATGCAAAATCCGTGTTTTTCAACAATGCTGCGTTGCCGTAAAACAACAGAAAACGGTTTCGCTCTATTTAACTTACCTTGTGCTATCCGAAATGAAGCACGCCGTGAAGTATAGCTATGAAATGTTTCACGCGAACGCTGTCGTGTAACTCCGTCAGCATACGTCCACGCGGATCTGCGAAGCGAGTTTATTTGTCGGTTTTTATTTAAACGCTGCAGGCACCCGTCCAATGCACGCCTAGTGCACGCCAGTTGGTAAAAATACTTGTGTGCATATGCACGTACACAGAGCAGCTGCAGGAATTAATCAACGCTCCTTCAGAAACATTTTACGCTTGACCAGTTCACCCATGAGCCGAAACGCGCTCCTTCGAGACACCTAACCAGTAGAACTCTCACTTTTCAAGAAGTCCGAGCGGCACATCAGAATCACCTGGCATCACAATTGTCTAAATGGGCAAATTTAAAAAGAAACCCATCATCGCAGGGCTGCTAGTCAAGCGATCGTACCAGTATGCCGTAGTTTTGTTTTGCATGTGCGCAAGCCGGCTTTATACACTTGTTCAATGTTGAGCCCTGTGGCCACTGACAGGATCCAGCAAGAAGCGCATTTACTGTGTCAAAGCACGAACAAGACACATTCGGAGAACTGGACGAACTACGATGAACGACGCGAGACGCCATGGCTAGTGGTGTAAATTATAAAACTGCACAACAATGCCAGTTAAGTAACACACATCCCGCTTGCTCTTGTGTTGTATCGTCTATGTTCATAAAGGTAACCGCTTATTCTACGACTCATTTCGTCCTATTTTGTTTCATTCGCATCTATTTATCATAGTAACTGAACCCAAACATTCGCTTTTTGATGAAAGTTTTGAACCTTCTAGGGGGCGCTCCAGGAACGTAGGTGCGGAGGAAAAAGAAAGGTGTCGCTAACTTTGAAACTTGTTTCATCGACCTTAACATACCCTACAGAGTCACGCTATCTCGTGGCAAAAGTGTTTATGCAATGCGGATAAGTTAGTGCTGGTTTATGGTGTTGAACAGCACTTGAAATTATAGGAAAAGGAGCACAAGACAGGCGCTGTCAGGCTTCTGAACGAAGCTTTGAACAGGGCCTTTTTAGGGATGACACTCAATGCATTCTGATCAGTCGATCATTTTTCTCGTTAACGCTAGGCAGGTGGTTCACTTTTTTTAAAGGTTTTTGAAGGCCAAGGCAACTGCGGTGCGACATAATAAAAATAAATTGTAGTATCTGCAGGGATGCTTCTTTAGCACGAAAGTGTTCAATGCCGCGTTTAACCAAGACTTCAGCGACGTATTTTTGTCACGGATGTCGCAGTACACCAAGACTTCATAACGTTTTCTATCACAGATGCTGGGGTTCACCAAGACTTCAATGACGTATTTCCGTCATAGATATGACGTTGGAAAACTAATGCTTACAAATGAATAAGAAAAAGTTGCACCATCTCCCGCTAAAGGAGACCATGCTTGCATGCGAAGCAGCGGGCGCTAACGCCTACACTGGCGGCGGCATTGACGCTGGCGTTCATCGGAGCGTTGCGCAAGACATGATGATGCAACGTTTTTATTTATCAAAAACAGGAAACAAAAAGGGATGGGCGAATGTCAAGGGTGGTTTCCCCATTCCAGGACACCAGTGGCCGCTGCAGCTCACCAGGCTTGATCCAGGAGACCCTTTTGGGTATTCAGGTCAGGTCGGGCGAGGATGGCTTCCCAAGGCTCCCCCAGTAGCGTGATTATCAGAGGCGACTGAACCTCCATAGGCTTGTGCCGGCAGTCCCTTGTGACGTGTTGCAACGTCGGTTGTGACTCGCACCACGGACATTGATTTACATGTGCATTCGGGTTTATGTAATGCCACCTTTCCAAATGTAGATAAGTGTTAACCTGAATTTGTCTTAGCTGGCAAGTTTTGTCAACTTTAAGCCATTTGTGCAGTAGGACATACCGCTTTCTTGCCTTGTGTTGAAGCTCGAGTATATCGCTAGTAGTGCAAGGTGCATACTGATTATCATTGTTGTTGTTCACTTAGTTGCTCAAATCACGAGCGAAACTGTGCGCCAGCGCATTACCCGAGATACCCTCGTGACCTGAGTACCAAATTTAGCATGGTCATGTATCAGCCTGTCACCTAGTATTTTCAAGGCACCACGGAGAAACATTCTGCAGGCTTCCTGGGAATCAGACAAGACTATGCGGAGGCGTTCTCTGCCTCTATAGTTCGAATAGCTAGCGCAATTGCCGCCGCCTCCGCCGTCGCTGTACAGGTTCTTTCAATTCATGCTACGACAGTTTTAGCAGTATGAGGCATTGATTGAACTGCTACTATAACGCAGCTCTTGATCGATTTACCGGCATCGGTGTGTTCTACTTCATGGCTTTCACCAAACTGTCTCTGAAGCTGGCAAGCTCTACCTTGTCTGCTTGCCCCGTGGTACAACTTACTCATGTTTCGCGGAATGGGCAGATGGTTATGTGTTGGCATGTTCCCTAACCAAGGTAGTAATGTTCTCCCGGCAGTATTGTGGTCTAGTGGGGTATCCCAAGCGAGTGAGGGTTTCTCTGCCTACCTTTGTAAGGCATAGTCGTTCCTTTTGCAAGAGAAGTGTTGCCGCAAGCTCTTCAAAAGTGAACACACCAAGCGCTTCCACTTTGTCATTAAGTGAATTAGGCGGTATCCCTAAGGAAGCTTTGCACGCTGCCCGTATTATCAAGTCAATCTCTTTAATTTCCGTTGCTTTGCGATCCTGAGATGGTAGTCCGTATGTGACTCTACTAAGGATGAAGGCTTGTACCAAGCGTAGAGTTTCTCCTTCGTTTAGCCCTTTGCCCTTCTTGTTATTCTGTGAATCGTTCGAGCGATGTTCTTCACTGTACCTTTCAGCATTTTGATGTATAACTTGCTCTTTTGTTGTTTTGCAGCCATAAACCTAATATTCTCATCGTTTGTCTCTCCGGCAGCGTTTGATCTCCTATGCTTAAGTGTATGGCTGATTTGTTTCTATAATTTCTGCCATGAACGTGGATAAATTCTGAATTATCTGGTGCACTTGTCATTCCATTATCCTCAGCAAACGGCTGGACGGTGTCGGTCGCTTCTCGTAAAGTATGCTTATTCTTCCCCACTGAGCCTTTATTGACCCACAGAGTGATATCATCGGCATAGAGAGCGAATTGGGGGTCGGGAATTCGCTCCAGCTGCTTTGCTGTTCGATTCATCGCTGTAATAAAGAGGAGTGGAGAAAGGACTGCGCCTTGCGGTGTGCCTCTATTTGGCATTGAAAATTTTTGCTAGCGTATAATCTCCGTGCCAATGGTTGCTGTGCGGTTGCAAAGAAATGATTTGATATAGCAAAATGTTCGAGCACCACAATTCAATGATTGAAGTTCTTCCAGCACAAGTCAATGAGAGATTGTATCGAACGCCTGCCTCCAATTCAGCGCTGCGACTACGTTCTCCCCTTCAGTGGTTACATTCCGAATCCCTTCATCGTTTATTCGGAGGAATATATCCTGCGTAGATAAATGCTGTCTGAATTTATACATGTTATGAAACAGATAATTCTCACTTTCTATACATTCAGAGAGCCTGCTGTGCACAACCATCTCAAAAAGCTTGCCTAGGCATGATGTCAAACGATGTGGGGTGAAGTTTGTGGAGCATTTTATCCTTTTCAGGTTTTGGAATAAGAAATATGTCAACAATGACTCGGGTGCGCTCATCTCTGTGTTTGTACAGCGTCGCTGTGTCCTTGAAAAGAGGCGCGGAATTGCACTCAGTGCAGTGCAGAGCAAGAAAACCATCTTTCTCTCTTCTAACATTGTTAGCGTATTCTCTAAGCCGATCGTTCAGACACCTTCCGGTCGTTCCGACATAATGAGCACCGCATGAAAGGGGGGTCGCGGGAAGTTGTCTATAGCCCCCCCTTTCATGCGGTGCTGTTTGATAGATCTCTAGTTCGGACTTCTTAATCATGCCGATTCTCCACATATCGGTCTCATCTTTCTTCACCTTCTTCTTAACCAATAATTCTTTTGTGCTTGGCCCCCTGCTGTTTTCTAAGTATTTGCCAGTCAATGTTCTGGTTCGCTTCCTCCATTTTGTATCGACAGTCTTCCTAGCCTTGCTTCCTTCATAGCCTTCCTCCCATATACCTTCCTAGCCAAATGCTCCCTCATTTTTCTCAATGTATTCTCAAATTTTATCTTGCTGCTAACTTCCCTGCCCTCAAATGATGTCCATCCCTTATCACATTGTACTCCCTGATTTGGTGTATTGCCGTGAGCTCCTAAGGCAAGCCTACCTACTGCACGTTGCTTGATTTCTAATCTTGCTTGAACTACTGATCTCATTCACAAGACTGCGTTGCTGAACGTCAGACCAGGAACCATGACCCCTTTCCATATTCCTTTCACAACATCATAGCTATTGTAACTCCACAGTGCCCTGTTTTTCATTACCGCTGCATTCCTGTTATCTTTAGTCGTCACGTATGTTTCGTGTTCCCTTAGGTACTCGGCCCCATTGCTTATCCATGCGCCCAGATATTTGTATTTATCTGTTATCTCTAGCGTGACCTCCTGTATTCTAAGCTCACTAC